CTGCAGCCAACAGACTTAAAAAAGGAAACCCTGATATGTAGCAGAAGGTGATGGAATTGCTGCTCAGCCCCATGCAACAACCAGCAATGCCCTAAAGTGTAGGAAATACCTATAGCAGAACACAGACATAGCTACACCTATATTATCTCTGACCCTCTTCTTGAACACCTACAGTGATGAAGAGTCCACAACTTCCCTGGGAGTTTATTCCACTGCATCCCTGTTCTAACAGTGAAGAAGTTTTTCCAGATATTCAATCTAAACTTACTTTGCTGCAACTTTAAGCCATTGATCCATGTTCTACTCCCTGCAACATGAGAGAAAAGGTGTTCTCCCTCTTCATTATGGCAGTCCTTCAAGTATTAGAAGACTGCTCTTGTATCCCCTCATAAACACCTTTTCCACAAGCTGAGCATGTCTAGCTCCTTCAGCCTCTCAGGACTACATTCCTAGAATACTGAAAGTTTAGAGTGGAACAGATTGTAATTACTTTTGGCATGTACCAAGTCTCTGTTTAAAAAGAAAAAAAATTAATAATAAGAAACAGATCTCATTTAAATCAGCTTCTTGTGTTTTTTTAAAACCAGATTTTATCCTTCCTCATCCTCTACCCTACCTAATCTGCTGAATTATTGGTGAAGTTCCTCTACAAAATGTGCTGGATAAAGTCTTCTAGGAAAATTTACATTCCTACTGGCATGTTTCTCTCTCTCCTTTCCAAAATTGTTCAGTGATAGCAAATTGCTCTCACAGGTGTTCTGTTTTACAGAACTTTTAGAGCAGGTTTGTTAAATTCATCTGGCTCCACAAGGTGGGTGAGTTGCATGGGGCTGGTTCACAGGCTGGATACTAAATGCAGAGCCGTGCCATCTGGTCTGCAGGGGTGGACGCTACTCCTCTGGCTGTCAAATTTCCAGCCCCAAAAGCACCCCTGTGGGCCAGATGACATGGCTGGCCAGATCTGGCCTGCAGGGCTCAGCATAGGGATGGAAAGTTTGCAGCAGAACACTGTCACTTCTCATCCAACTGTCAAATTTCTAGCCCCAATTTGGTTCATGGGTCATATCTTTGACACCCCTGTTCTATAGTAAGGAGTGATCCTTGGTCTCCACTTCCCATCCATACATAAAAGCCCAACAGTTTGACTATCTTTCCACAATGCTTTGATGATGATACCTCCAGCCAAATGGTATGCCACTGCACAACAAACAGAAATGGAGATTACCAAGCTGCAACTCCTAAGTTATTTCCATTAGTTTGGCCTACATCCTTATGGATCAGCCAGCCTGAATAAGTAGGCTAGGGTACACTAGAAACCGTTCTTAATATGCCATGTTTAACAGATCTTAAAGAGGTAATTGACTTAAGAGGCCTAACTCATTTTCCATGCAACATCCATTTTTAATAACAGAAATGAGCTTTTAAAATTGTTTTTCCCTAGTTAAGTGGAAATGCTATGATTTTTAATATTTTCCAGTTTATTTGTACATGGTATTTAATGGATTTTAGAAGTGTTTTTAGGAGCAAAAAGAAACTAGCAGTTCAAATCAGCAACAACTTGTTATACCTAACAGAGGGTCAGTACAAATGTGCAAAGTGATAGAAATCAGAGGAGAAAAAAGCAGCTGTGTATCCCTATGTGTTTTTAAATAATATAAACACAGAAGAAAACATGTATGTTAATTAAGGTATCATCTAGGCAACAACATCTTCTGTTTGTAACATACATCCACATAGGGATTACAATTTACAAACCTAATTGGCCCATAACAACCTTGCGAGGTAGGAATATACCTATTTGAAGAAAAGACTAAAACACTAGAGATTAGACATTTAAGCCCAAGCACTCATCTTTGAACAATTTGGTCACAAATAGATGACTTGATGATCAGCGTTAGATCTGTTCAATTCACCAAACAATTAAGAGTCAGAGATCCCACAGGATCATTGGAGAGTAGGTCTAGAAGGGACCTCTTGAGGTCATCTAGTCCAGCCCTCTGCTCAAAGCGGATCATCCCTGACTAAACCATCCTGGCCGAGGATCTGTCTTATCTGCTCTTGAAAACTTCCAAGGATGCAGATTCCACAATTTAAGAAGCCTGTTCCAATGCTTGATCACCCTCACGATCAGAAAGTTCCTCTTTCAACCTAAATTTCTCCTGCTGAAGCTTGGGACCATCATTCTTCATCCTGCCCCTTGTGGCCTGAGAGAAAAGCCCATGTTTATGCTCACTATAACCTTCAGGTATTTGAAGACTGTTTTCAAATCCTGCCTTGCACCCTCCCCATCTAATCTTCTCCAGACTAAAAACCCTAGGGGTCTAGCTCATTCAGAGCTGAAAAAGTTGTTCCAGTCTGTGAATAAAAAAGAGGTAGGGAAGACCAAGACCTGTTAACTCTAAGAACTCTGACAAAGGATTAGACTTTTAAGAGTACGTAGCCCACAAGGAATGCCCAGCAGCATCTTCAAATGTTCCTAGGCAGTTTAGAAGCCCAAGTCCCATCCTTGATTTCAGTGGAAGTTTGGCACCTGATCTACTTAGAAATCTTGCCCATGGTGATGGAGGCAATCAATCAGTTTGTCAACTCCAATGTAATAGTTCCTATGTTTAGCTCCTCTTTCAGCCTTTCCTCATAAGTCTTGCTTCCCAAGACCCTGATCATTTTTGTTTTTCTGCATTGGGTTCTTTCCAAGCTGTCCACCTCCTCCTTGATGTATGGAGCCCAAAACTGGACACAGTATTCCAAGTGAAGTTTTACCAGTGCTGAATACAGCAGAAGAATCATTTCCCGTGATTTGCAAGTGATCCCCTTGTTAATACAACTAAATATACTGTTGGCTTTTTTTGGAACAAGAAATTGCTGTTGGCTCATATTCTGCTTATGGTCCATTGTAAATTTCTGGTCCTGATAGGCAATAGTGCAGCCTATCCAGTCACTCCCCAGTCAGTATTTGTGCATGCAATCATTTCTGTCCCAAGTGCAGGACATTGCTAGATCTCATTTGGGTGATTGCAGGCCATTTTTGCAGCCTATCCAGGTCATTCTGGATCCTAGCTCTACTGTCTGGAGCATCTGCAACTCAGTTCAACTTGGTGGTGTCCACAAATTTGCTAAGCTTGCACTCAACCCCATTGCCCAAATCATTAATGAACACATTAAAAAATACCGGACGCAGGACACCCACTTGATACTTCTTCCCAACTCAACATAGAGCCACTGATAACTATTTGTTGAATACAATGATCCAACCAGTTACATATCCACCTCACGGCATTTTCATCTAGTCTGTAGTTCCATAGTTTGTTAATGAGAATACTGTGGGAGACTGTCAAAATCCTTGCTAAAGTCAAGGTAGATCAATCTACAGCTTGTGCACTGTTATGTTTCCCTACCAGCAGATTTCCCAATAATTAAGTCTGCCATGAGAACCAAGTCCTGTGATTTGGAAACTTCTGGCAGATGCTGAGAGAAGTTCTCACCCTACTCCACCTCCTGTCTTGAAGGCCTGTAGCAGAAATCCACCATGACATCCTCCCTATTGCTTTCCATTTGGACCTTTACCCAGAGGCTTTCAAAAGGCCTACCTTCTGCTACATAGTGAACCTCAGGACACGTGTATATGTACCTTTACATATAAGGAAACTCCTCCTTTTTTGCCTCTATCTATCCTTCCTGAACAAGCTATACACATCCATGATTGTATTCCATCTAGATGTCTATGTAATCCTAATGACATCTTAATTCTGTGTTTGTACTAGGTCCTCCACTTCTTTCTGCTTGTTCCTCATACTTCTCACAATAGTATATAAATATTTCAGATATCTAACTGTCCTATCCTTTGAGATAATCAAACTTGGTAATATATGGGATGTGAATTTTATTAGACAGATTTACCACTTAGCAATATGTGTGCTAACCTTGAAGCAATCATAGCTACAAACTACAGTCTACAAACTGTAATGTGGAAAAACACAGTATAAACCTGAAATATTGGCTATTGGCAGGAAGAAAGTACAATGGAAGTCTTTACAGACACGTGTATTTTATACATGCATATACATGTGGGCACACACACAAACAACTTAGTTAGGCAAAACTTAACAGGGATTACCTAACTATTTTGAAGTTTGATGAATACTGCATATACTTCATTTATTGTCACCGTCTCTTTTCCTGCAGGAATTTTTACTCTACTAAAAAAGGGTCTAAACTCTTTGGAGACCTGTTCCTTAACTATGAACATTATCTCAAAACATTCTTCCAATGCATGTTTATGCTTTGCAGCACTGGAAATCTTGGGGGGGAAAAAAAAAAAACACACCTGAAAAATTAAATGTTTAAGATTTAACACTTACTGCAGGTGCTATGCTAGGAAATACCAGGGTAATGCAAAAAGTATACAATTTAATTTCACTGGAAGTCTGGTTTTCTAAGAATACTTCAGAAGTGACAAATTCACTGTTAGGAACAACTTTACAGGGTAATATGATTATTCTTATTGCTTTTAACAATAGGGGCCCATTTTTTCTTTTCAAGCTGCTCTTTTCAGGACAAGACACCAAGAAAAAAAAGGTACCCCTATCACTGGTGGGTCAACCTAACTGATAAGGGGATATCAAGAAAGAAGACAGGATGGGATAGATTGGAGAATGGAACAAAAACGTAAGAAGAGAAGAAAGCAAAAGAAAATCTATTTATGCCTGTGTCTCCATGGACAGAAAGATGATGTTAATCTCACACATTCATCATGTTAACAGCCTAACCAGAGCAGACACTCCCAAAAGCAGTAACCCATGCTATATCAGGTAACATCCAAGTGGGGATGTGGAAGTGGAAGTTCAATGTTTATAATGTAACACTAGCTAAAATCTTCACAAGACACTTTGCACACTAAGCTGAAAATCTCCACACAACCTTTTCCTGATGACATTTCCAAATTTCTGCACCTTCCTCTTCTACAGAAAAAGGTTGATTTAGCATAAGCATGCCTTCAATACCTGCAGGAGCTGGGATTGTGGGATACTGCCGTTTGATTGCTGACACCAAGCCACCATCTGCTCTGGAAAGAAATTCTGGGTTGGAAGAAAGAGAGAAAGAGAGGGAGAGAGAGACAGAGTTTGGAGTCAGATTACATTTATGCACATTCTTTAGTTACCACTTCTGAATTAATATATTTAAAAAACAGTGTAAGTGACACTGAGGCTTTCAGGCCTTATTTACCCCTTCCTCCTTTACCACCTGCCAAAAAATAAAACCATAAAAACACAAACTTCACAAACATAGAAAATGGCTTTGTAAAATGAAGTCTGGGATATTTCACAAGGTACACTGCTGAAATTTGATACTAAATCATTTCTATCAACACCTTTCTACATAACACTGTTTTCCCTCCTCCAGAAAACTAAAATATAAATCAGCTTTTATGATACTTGCAGTAAGGAGCAAGAAGCTCTAGTTCTTGTTTCTTGAAGTGGAGAGGAATGGCCAACCTGTGCCATGCATGCCATAAGTGGCACAGGTAGATTGCGTGTGGCACTTGGCAGACCAGGAAGAGAAAAGGCAGCATAGCAGCAGATAGGCTGCATAGAAAGCAGAACAGCATATGGGACAGGGAGCATACGGCAGGAAGCATAATGCACAGCAGTAGATCAAGTAAGGAGCATAGTGCAGGGAGATGAAAACACAGCAGCATATCAGGCGGTGGAAGAGGATCAGCATGACATTCAGGCAGGGTATGGGGCTAATCTGTAGCATGCCTGCCTAAAAGGCTGGCCCCCACTGGGCTAATACACCGGGGAAGCCTGGACTCAACTTCCTATGCCATCACAGATTTCCCATGTGGGTTCAGGTTAGTTACTTAGAGTCCATGTACCTCTAGATCCCCATTTGTAAGATGCAGAGAAGTGGTTGTCTCAAGTCCAGTTGGACTAGATGACCTAGGGGTTGGACCTCCTGTTAAACCCCCAGTATGACCTCCTGAGGTCCTTTCCAACCCTAATTTTTTATGATTCCATGATTTTAAGTCAGGCAGAAGATAAGGCACAGTGGCACGTCAGAGACTAACTGGTCCAGAGCTTTCATAAGCAACAATCTACTTTGTTATATGCTAACTTCTGACGAAGTAGGTTGTTGCCTATGAAAGCTCATGCTCTCTGAACCAGTTTCTCCCCAAGATGCCACCTTTCCTCACCTTCTACTGTCTTTCTTGCCTTACAGGGGTATAATGAGGAAAAATACATTATAGAATCAAAGCTCCTGAGTTACCAGGATAAGTAAGAGGCACTTAAATACTTAGCTAGTAGTTTTCTCTCTCTAACCAAATTGAAGTTTAATACCAAATCAGAACTGAACAACTTTAAGATCCATCAGAACTTTTCTTCTTAATTGTCTAGGCCTGGAGCATAACTGTCAGTGTTTAAGCTAGCCATTTGTTCAGCATTTTGTTCACACCTAAGTCTCGACACCTTCCAACTATCAGATCTTCAATTTTTTTCCCTTGAAGATGATTATGTATCACAGCAATGTAAAAGAGCTTGTGCATTCCCTGCAGTGATTAGTTAGCTACACATTCTACAAACTGGAACAGTTTCATGGAGCAACATTCTGTGTATGATCAGAGTAACCTTATGTGCAGCACTTGCAACTTACAAACAATTTAAGTAGACACCCGTTCACATAGCACAGTAATTTTAGGTCCAAGCAGAATGTGTCACACTTGCAGGGAATTTCTACAAAGCTTTAAATCTTCATAATACTCTACAATGCCAGCTCGATGAATCATCTCATTCACTCTGAATTATGATATCAGGAATCTATGACAGCTAAATACACAAGTTCACTTCAGACCGCCTGTTTCTTTCTTTATCTCATTTTCAACTTTATACAGGCTGTTAATCTTTGTTAGATGATTGGAGAAATTGAGATCTAAACTAAAAGATGATCAACAAGCTAAACTGCAACCTGTAGCAATTAGGAACGCTTTTCAAAAATGCTTTAGATAATAGAAACACGTTCCTCAAAGCATTAGCAGATTGAGGATTTAGGAGGAACTGCCTTCTCACCTCATCATATATTTAGCCAGGTGAATTATGAAGATTAAAATGACCAGCTTCCCATAACTACTAGCCAGTGCCAGATTCTGATATTTGACTGAATGGACCAGTAGCCTTAAAGCCTGAAGGAATCAGCAGTGTTTGATAGTCAAAACTAAAAGTCAACTGCTTTGCATTTTCTTTCTAACCTCTCTTAGATTAACAATTAATGTTAAGATTAACAAGCATGCTATACAAAACTTGGCAGCAGAAGTAACAGAACAGATTACAAGGATGGGGCATAGTTTATAAATTAGGGTTTTCTGATTAGAGGCAAAGGCTACACATTCATATAGGGAGATGAAACATGATTCCCTTTCAAGGGGCAGATTTCCAAACATGTATCCATAGCTGTCAAACAGGTAGCCAGGTGCTTATATACAAGGTGTGAATTAAGCGGAAGCTTAGGGGAGCTGAGACTCACATAAGAGATGAAAGCTCCCCTGTAAGATTTGAAAATCATAACCTGGGGGCGTGGGGGAGTCTTCCAATTTGACTGCTCCTTCATTTATGTAGAAATATTAATCAATGAACTGGTTTAATTTTTTTTGCAGATCCCTGCAGGAGTCAAAGTGTAATTCAAACCCTGCTTATATGTATGCATCACTGGACTGTCCCCACAGATTGTGTGCATGTTTGACAGTATGACCCCAAATAGGTTATAAAACACCATTAAAAAATAACAACAGCTCTTAGGTTCTTGTTTTACTACTATTACTTCCAGTTGAACAAGGCAACATTATCACGTGTTGCACATTTATCTGTGAAAGGTGAGTGAGAGACAGGAAAAAGTATTTTGAAAATGTCCATGAGAAATAAGAACCACTAGAAGAACTGTCATGGTAAGCTCACCTACTATAAGCCAATGGGCAATATACATATTTATAAACAGGAAATAATTGTGTGAGACAAGTGCTTTAGAAGTTACCCATAGGTTTCTTCATTACTGGCAAAGATTAAGGGATCTGAACACTGCACGTTATTTGGTCAACTTGCTCCAAATCAAATAACAACTTTCAAGATAATGAATATGTTGAGTTGCTGTTGGCTTAGAGAAACCAAGCTGGGCTTTCCCTTTCTTCAGCATAGCAACAGCTACTTGAAAAACAAATTATATTTGGCAATTTGACAACCACTCCACATCTCTTATTTTGGGACTCAAGACAAGTTAAGATCCTTGCTTGTTTTTAAGAAAGTTGTTTTCACATTTGAGACTTCACTGTGTTCATTACCATTATTAGGCACTGTAGAAAAAGATACGGTCTATGACAGACAGTGTCTCAAACAATTTATTATCCTTGATGTTTTAGTAGTTTAACAATGAGACTCACCATAGGATTTTTAAAAAATTCGTATTTTGCATAATTCTTCCTGAACAAAAATTTACTTTCACTTCCCATTGTGGACTCGACTTGGACTATGATTTCATGGTCTTCTAAGCATCTCTCTGTGGAAGGAAAAGATGAGTGTTAATACCCAATTACCTAGGGAAAAAGGAGGCAAGACTAACACAGCAAAGAACACAAACAGAACAGTTCAGAATCACTCGACTGCACTAACATCCTTCATGAAGATCCTCAAAAAACTTGAGTTTTTTAGAGCCTTCAAATTACACTGAAACCTAGTGTAATTTAACATAGCAATACACTTTAGTATAGTAACACAGGATTGAGGTATCAAGGTATTTGGCTTTAAGTGCCCATTCTTTCCATATTTCACATGCCAGGATTACACAGGTATGATATTTTGAAGAGGAGGACTACTGCTATGAGTGTGTGTGTGGGGGTGGGGTGGGGGGGACACAGACAAGAGGGGATGGGGGGATGGGACTCATAACACTATGAAGCAAATTCTTCCTTACCACTTTGTAAACACTAAATGGAGTGAAATGCTTGGGAAAGCTTTAAGAACAATGGCTGATGGGGCCATCATCAAGTCCCACAATATAACAGAAAAATAGTCACCTCTTCAGCCATATGCCTCAAATGTACTTTCATCCTGAAGTGAACTTCAAGCCAGATTTGTAACATTGTTGCACATAATTCATGAAAGTTAACCCAAAGAAATTACCAAAAGGTAGCAAGGAGGTGTTGGGGAAAGTCACGTGCAGGAGCATGGCCCTGCCACGTTTGAGTTTTTATATCCTCCACAGCAGCTTGTGGAAGGAGACAGGCGCATTGCAGGTGGAGCATTATT